TGATGGGTCTAGTAAAGTTAAATGAACTTAATTTTGAGTTCGGATTTTCAAAGGTGATCAGGAAGAAATAATATCACTGGTGCTGTTTTTGCTATAGGCATATGCGCAGCCTGTTTGTCCATCAATTCATATTTTAAAATTTATTAAGTGACATACATTAAGATGTTAAATTCTTACTATTTTCAATTCTGACATTGCCTTATGATGAATATTCAATCCACATATGTACTGGATGATTCTGTCATAGTCTGCCCTCTTGTACTATACAGCGTGGGGAAAACAGCAGATGACTCATAACGTGCAAGTTTCCTGGAACTGAAGGTCATGTTTTATAAATGACTTTAATGATTGCTCAAAGTAAATTAGAAACTTTCTTACTCGGAAGTAAAACTCACAACTATATTTTGATTTCATCTTCAACGAAACTGTTGTAGAATGAGCAGACTAGTCTGTCATTCGCACCAATTACACTGACATCTCATTCTGTAAATGTGGCAGTAAGCTGGGGAAGGTTATAAAAACATGGTCATGCATATCATTCACTTTTTCTTAATATCAAATATAGCCCTTCTTTGGGAGCTCTAAAATAGTTATCCCAGTTGTGGGCTGGTTTTCAAAAGAAGTATGCAAACAATGCACTACAGATCTAGCCCTATTCCATAGGGTGCCAAGAATCAGTTTTAAACCACCTCCAGTAGTGACTGTTAACCTGCAAGTGTAAAAGAGTAGCACTCTATACTGCATGCTTTCTTCTTTTCCAGCAGTTCATTAGCTAATTATTTACAGCAATAGGTTAAGTGGCAATGCCGTTGTTTCAGTTCAGTGCAATATAAAAATCAATGTCAAAGCCTGGGTTATGCTGCAGTATATGCTACAGTACAGTGTCTCTCAAGTGGTTTCAAATAAACATAATCCTATCCCCTAATCATGGCCAAATTGAGAAGCTTGTCACGCATGTTGCTAAATAAAGCGAGTTATGACTTATAAATACCATTTCCTCTGCTACAGGTTTACCACATAGTAAAAAGTGGAGCGTCGTATGTAAATACCTTTAAAAACTACGTCAGAAGGCTGAGGAGTTCAGCTAATGAGAGTTGAGAATGTTAGCTGGAGTTGACAGAATAGGGCTGCAGCTTTTCGCAAATGATGGCACCAGCTAATTAAGTAGTGTGCAGGTACATGTTTGTTTTAAGAACATCGATAAGAGGAAGCTAGTATTTGCATTTGGGATCTGGTGTTTATTCTGCTCCAGGAAAGGCTTTGTAAAGAAGGACCTACTGTTGATTCACTGAAGTAACATCCAGTGTTCTGGCTGGTTTTATGGAGAGTGAGTTTGGGGGTAAGTTCTATGAGCTTTAAGTACGGATACCATTGATCACATCTAGGATTTTAAATTTGCAATGCTTTATCTCCAGTTTGGCTAATAATCTGTCTAGATCCAGCAAGCCATCTCATGTAGTCCTCAATACTGGATATGGCAGACCCTGGAAAATACTTGTACAACTAAGGGACGCGGGTGGTGCTGTGGTCTAAACCACTGAGCCTCTTGGGCTTGCCGATTGGAAGGTCGGCGGTTCAAATCTGTACGACAGGGTGAGCTCCTGTTGCTCTGTCCATGCTTCTGCCAACTTAGCAGTTCAAAAGCGTGCCAGTGCAAGCAAATAAATAGGTACCACTGTGGCGGGAAGTTAAACAGCGTTTCCGTGCACTCTGGCAGTCGTCACGGTGTCCCGTTGCTCCAGAAGCGGTTCAGTCATGCTGGCCACATGACCCGGAAAGCTGTCTGTGGACAAATGCTGGCTCCCTCAGCCTGAAGCAAGATGAGTGCCGCACCCCATAGTCCCCTTTGACTGGACTTAGCCGCCCAGGGGTCCTTTAACTATCATACTCGTGCAACTCATCTGTGTGTTTGTGTGCATGTGCATAGCATAGCATACTTGAAAGAGCATTTCTTCCTCGGTCTGAGTACAAAATGTGCTTCGTGTGTGTATCGGAAGCTGCATGTACAGCCGTAATCAGACGGCTGACACTATCAGCTTTGAGAGTGATGCCCATCTGTTTGTAAGGTGGGGAGTGAGGCAGTGCACACACCATTTAAAGCACATAGCTTCCCTCAAAGGATCTGGGGAACTGTAGTTTGTTTAAGCCTGATGGGAGCTGTAGCTCTGTGAGGGTTAAATACTGTTCTCAGGATTCTTTGTGGGAAGACATGTGTTTTAAATGTATGGTGTGTGAGCAGCCTGAACCTAGCCATCCCATTCCACCATCCTGAATACTGACTGACTTGAGCTGGTGGAACTAACAAAGATGATCTCAGTTGTAGTAGGCATTGGCATTTAGACCATGGTTACTGGTGGTCGCCTGTGCCTAGTTAAAAAGGTAAAGGTAAAGGGACCCCTGACCATTAGGTCCAGTCGCGGACAACTCTGGGGTTGCGGTGCTCATCTCGCTTTCTTGGCCGAGGGAGCCGGTGTACAGCTTTCGGGTCATGTGGCCAGCATGACTAAGCCGCTTCTGGCGAACCAGAGCAGTGCACGGAAACGCCGTTTACCTTCCCGCCAGAGGGTACCTATTTATCTACTTGCACTTTGAGGTGCTTTCGAACTGCTAGGTTGGCAGGAGCAGGGACCGAGCAACAGGAGCTCACCCCGTCACGGGGATTCGAACCGCTGACCTTCTGATCAGCAAGCCCTAGGCTCTGTGGTTTAACCCACAGCGCCACCCACATCCCTTTCCCTTGGGCCTCCAGCTGTTTTTGAACTACAATTCCCATCATCCCTGACCATGGTCTTGCTAGCTAGGGATGATGGGAGTTGTAGTCCAAAAACAGCTGGAGGCCCAAGGTTGGGAAACACTCCTGCATACATCCTCTTCAAGGAAATGACACCCGCCATTACCAGAAAGAGCAGTGTTTTGTACTTTCCTTTTTATGTCTTGACTGATAAATGTTTTCCTGTCTTGTTTTGGGGGTGCATTATGGGATCACAGAGCTGTAGAATTGGAAGGAACCACAAGAATAATCTAGTCCAACCCCCTGCAATGCAGGAATCTTTTGCCCAACGTGAGAATGAAACCCACAACCCTGAGTTTAAGAGTCTCATACTCTACCAAGTGAGCCATGTTAGCTTGGTTGTTATGTAATTTCGTCTCGGCAGCAAAGAATACATTCAAGTTATACCTTTTCTATTGTATAGCTTTTAGGACTCATAGCGTGGTTCACTTAATACCATGATTTATTTACTTTTATTACATAAGACGGTTGAATGGCGCCTTGTATGCCTCCTTCCAGCAACTCCTGCAGCCAAGCTGGTGCCAAACATATGGCTCTGCTTCCCTTTAGACCAATCAAGGCTGAGACGGAGGTCTTGTTTATCTGGGCAGCCTAGGACCTCCATACACCCTGCCCAGGGCTTGCGCCCCGAGGAGGTCACTTTGGTGCTGCTAATGCAGCAGTTTGACTTCACCCCTGGTAGGTGCACTCACTGAGACAGACAGATGCAAATGACCACTTTACTTTTGCGCTTAATATTAAGCACCTTGAATGTTGTAGAAAGTATAAAACATAAAAGTCTATTCAAACAACCTCTATAAGAACATGAAGAGAGCCCTGCTGGGTTAGACTAAGGGATCCATCAGACCCATACGAACTCTGATTCATCCCCTGCTAGTAATCCATGGCTGTCCTGTCCTCCATAATTTGTCTCATGCCTGGTTTATATCCATCTAAGTTAGTTGCTGGCATGTGTTTCGTGGTAACAAGTCCAAAATAGACCAATTTTATAAGAATTAGATAGGAATAATTATTTTATGTAATTTAACGCACATTCCACTTTCCCCTGCCTCTGAGCAGCAAATGTAAAAGCAACAGATTTTCAAACCCAAGAACAACAGCAGAAAGCAAAAAATGCGAAGAGCAACGCCAATAATTAATACACTGGCACCCTTAGGGAGCAACGGCAGGCTAGAAATTTATTTAATTATTTAATTAAATAAGCAAACAGCAACAGGATCAACTGAATAATTTCAGTTGCCAGAAGAACACCATTGGAGGCAAGAGTTTTCCATAGATTTGTGGGGGGCCACAACAACAACAAAAACCCTGTTATATCTGTCACAAATCTTGCCTCAGAAGGCGATAGACATACAAGAAGGATGCAATACCAAATCTTAAAGGATGAGCAGATTTACATATGAGGAGACAGTCCTTCAAGTAGTTTTGCATTGAACTGTATAGGGTTTTATAGGTACTTATTATGTAAGTCAGCCTTTGCCAGCAGAATCATTGGCTCAGGCTGACCAGAGTTGGAATTCACCTGGAGGGCACCAGTTTGGTGACGGAAGTCAAATATTAATGGAATATTATTGGAATATTAATGGCCTTTCTCCATCATGAAAGTCAAGGCAGCTTACAGGGGATTCTCAATGAGTCTCACAACAAGGCACTAGTTAAAGAGTCTGCCACGGCTTCTTTTGAAGAAAACAACAATACTTAGCTAAAGCTAAAGTGGTTTTGAAACACAGCTCAAGGTCACATCCTTGTTCAGCAGGAAATTAAAAAACAAAAAACCACCAAGCACCGTATTCCACAACACACTTCAAGGTCACATTTCAGCTCCTAAACCATAACAAAAATAGAATAAAATTCTAGCAGCCAGGTTCCAAGGGAACATAACACACACAGAGCACCCTCGTACAACGATGAGCTTAAAATGTGAAATGGCGAATGCTGAGAATACAGACAAAAATCCCACAACCTTCCCGGCACCTATAGCTGAGAGTGGAATAGTTTGCTTCTTTTTTCATGAATCAGATGCTCATGAGTGAAAATGACGTCGGGGGAACATAAGCACTAACCCCTCCCCCACAGAAACAGAAAATGTTTTACATGGTTATATTGCAAACAAAAAATAAGAGAAGAATAGCCCAGTTCTTGCCTGTTTTGGTTATAGATCTCATAGATCTCATTTCTTTCCTGTTTTGGTTATAGATCTCAAACTTACAGCTGGTAGTTTCAATGAGACGTCAGGCAGGAAGTCATCTCTGTGTTGCTTTTGTTGTTGTTGCGTCTTCCTTTTTTTGCAGGTGTCTTTATCCATCTTGTTTTTCTTCCCTTTCTATTCATTTGCTGCCCCCCACCTATCTTCCCCAAACAAAACAACGCCATCAATCGACGAGAAAATATGTAACCCCAAAAACAAACCTTAGGTCCACTTGTGGTTGCTGGAGAGAACAAACCAGTACCGCTCCTCCCGGTTTTACACTGTGTCCTTCCTGGGCCTCGCTGGCGAAGGCAGCCGACGACTGGGGTAGAGTGAAGCGCAGACATAGCAGTGTGCAGCAGTGAGTGCATGTTCTTTAGCGCGTTCTCCCTTCACGAGAGACATCCTATACTTTCTTTTGAGATGTCAATAATAATTCAACTAAGCAATCAAAAATCTCCCCTTTTCTTCTTTCTTCCGCCTGTCTAAATATGCCCCTCTTAACACTCCATATCATTTCTGCCCAGGATATTAACTTC